CTGAGCTTAGCAGACACCCAACCACTTTCTAAGATCAGCTTAACTGCTATCAATTGACAATTTAAATGTGCATACTTTAAAAAGGAATGCAAATAAACAGTGGCCATTGTTTCCCCTATTTGGAGGATGTATCAACTGAAACATTACGGTGCTGGCACAGAAGCGCCACTGCACAAGATCGCTCTGTTCACTGGTATGAGGCAGTATTCTGTGCATACAGTCCAACTATGTGCATAAAGCTTCCCTATGTTTCCAGGGTGGAACTGGTGATTGCAGAACTTCAGATCGAAGACCCAGTCTGTAGTCTTCAACCCTTCCAACCCATAGTGGCATAGTTTCCACATAGTGAGCTTGCCGCTGTCTTTCTTGACAGTTCCCTGTGCTTTCACAGTGATCTGACTGACATGACATTCACATGCTATGTGAATAATACAACACTATATTATAAAATAACATTCACATCACCGTATCTCTATGCAAAAGAAGCTGCATGCCATAAATTTCTGCTTGTCAGGAAGTTGCAAGAAGGTCAAGGCCCCTGCCAGGCACTACCTACCCCATGCGTGTGCATGCACAAATACTCTAGCCCCTGAGGTCACAATCTGTAAGCTTATATTGGATTTTTTAAAAGCTATTAGGTCTTCAATCCTAAACCTACTTTCATGGAAATGCATACCACTGAACTTATTTACTTACTTCTTCTGAATAGACATGTATAGGGTTGCATTGTAGGCTTTGAATGACAGACTGCCTTCCCCCAAACCTCTTTGATCGCTTAGAATATTCTCTTAAGGCATTGCTCCATGTACCTGTACAGTGGTACCTTGGCTCACGAACTTAATCCGTTCCAAGACTCTGGTCGTGACCCAAATTGGTCATGAGCCAAGTTAAATTTCTCCATAAGGTTCAATGTAAATAAGGTTAATCCATTTTGTAACCATTTTTTAAATCAGAAAAATGAGAAGCAAAGTGACAAAGAACAACAAAGATCGTGGCCATCTCCCCCTCCCCACCTCGAGCACAAATGCGGCCATCTCCCTGCCCCCCCAGCACGACCGAGATTGCGCCTGTCATCCCTGCACACGCCCATCATCCTGGCATTCTGGGGGTGGGGAGAGAGATGGGCGCGATCGCGGGTGCACTGAGGGAGGGAGAGACGGGAGAGACTTGGGGAGTGGGGAGATGGCCGCAATTGTGCTGGTTGGGGGTGGGGGAGATGGCCAAAATTGCGCTCATCTTTCCTGCAGGAGCGCGCCCGTGATCACGCACATCTTCCCTGCACGAACGCAACTGTGATCGTGGCCATCTCCCACTTGGGGGGTGGGTGGGGAGATGGCTGCGATCTTGGTCGCCACCCAATGTGGAGTTTGCGACCCATGTCAAAATTGTCATGAAATTTTTGTTCGCAACCCGATTTGGTTGTGAACCAAGGCGTTCATGAGCTGAGGTACCACTATACTTTCAAAGAACAGGTATCCAGTAACCGGAGGCAGAGCCTTTTCTGTGGTAGTTCACCAACACAGCTGGGTCATCATGGGTAATTTAATTCATGATAAACTACAGTGTGTCGTTTGCTGGGTGTGGGTGGCTGCTGTTTTCATTATGCAGCCACCAATTGAGAAGATTGGGGGACATGCAATGTTGTGTAAACTCAGTCATCTAGATTATTTTGAGGGTTAAACAACCATCCCATAACTTTTGATTATTAGTAGGTTCTGTGAAGGTTGTTAAATCCTTGGGTAACTCATGATGGCTAGATTTGCACAACATAACACAACCTTATATCACTCCAAAAGGTGGCTTAAGAGCTGGCTTATTCTGGAGTACTCTGCCCAGAAACATAACATTTTTCTATTATTCAAGAGCCAGGAGAAGGCTGTCTTCTTTCTATAATCTTTTGAGCCTGGGCTGTTGATTTTGTCTTGCCTGTTGCATTTTGTTAATGGTTTGATGTTATTTATACTAAGCATTTTTAACATTTTGATTCTGAGTTGCATTTCATAAAAAGCTAGGATTTAACTGTTTACTATAATTGATTTAATTAAAACAATTATATTTAATTACAATACAAATATGTGTGAGAAGAGTTTTTAATTAAATGTAACATTTAATGATGTTATTGCATAGACACAGTAGTCTGTTCTCACAGTTCTCAAAGCTCTTTAATGATGCAGTTCTAGTCACTAGCAAGGAAGGCTGCAACTTACTTGAAAGTAAGTAATATTAAGCTCAGCAGGGTGAAAAAAGCATTCATTTCTGTATGATTCTTTCAGAAGCTTATCTTTTACTTATTTTCAACTCATTTGGGCATATTGGTAAAACATCTCTTTAGGATGAAATCCCAGGTTCCCAGGAACACTGCATTTTTTCCAGTTTTCCCTATCAAAATTAGAAAATTCTATTTCTCTGCCTCTCCATTCCATCTACCTGTTTTTTGTGATTGCACAAATGATCTCTGATGACCTCAGAGAAATCAAGAAGGGCACATTCTGTTGTGCAAAGAGGAGAGCAGCCAGGATACAAATATCCCTCTGGTCTCTCTGTACCCAGCACTTTGTACCACACCTCCTCTAAACAGGCTCAGAGACCTGTCAGGTTGAGATCACATGGAAAGGAGGATGGAGAGGCTTGCCTCCACTGCTCCTTCCATCCTGCCAGTAGCAGCAGCAGCAACTTCTAAGCTTCCGCATTTGGATGCTTCTTTGTAAAGGGTTCTGGGGCTTCCTTCTTTTCTGTTGCATATTTGTGAGGGGGAGATTGGAATGATTTGCTTCTGTATTAAATTAACTGCAATTTATGGTTAGCTGAAATTTTAGTTTGCTCAAACAAGACATGATCAAACCATAGTTTAAACTAACTACAGTTCCCTGTTTGCTTGAAATGACAAAGAATAATTTATTTAAAATAGATGATAATTATATAGTATTCTGGAACTTTGTTATTAAAGGTGTTCCACCTTTTCCTAATTTTCAAACTTGCTTGAGTTTGAAACTAATGTCTTTCTTTCTATCCTATCAAGGATTCAAGGTAAATAACCACAGAGTTTGAAACTCATGCAGAATATTACACTAAACAACACAGTGTGGAATCCTACATATTTAAAAACAGTGATAAACAGATCAGTATTATTTACCATCCAAAACTTGTAGTAACAGTACCAGGGGGAAACAAAACATGAGGTGAAATGCACTCCTGAAGGAGCAAGCTTTTTCCTTGGTAAATTGGGGTGGGAGCAAAGGCAAGCAACTTGCTTACTGAATGCTCCCTCACCCCAGGAACTTAAGAGAACAAGGTAAATTATACCTGGTCCTGAGGAAGAAGTCCCAAGCTAGTCTATGATATTTTGCTGCTCCAGGATTACTATTAACTTATAGGGTTATCCTAGCACAAATATTAGCTTTCATCTTCTTTTCTCTAAACCACCCAGCAGGCTGGTAGCAGTGTTAAAATAAAAAACTGAAATAGGGGCAACATAACAGGTGCAAATAAACTCCAAGAAAATTAAACACAGCAGATGCCCCAGCTGTGCTCAGTTGTGTTTTATTATCTGCTACCTTTTAGGAACATTTTTTTTAATTACATATGATACACATTACCTGGCAGGGCTGTAGGATGCTCTAGAAAAGATACAGGAGGTGAATCTCACTTTGCAAGCCTGCTAAGTAATTTAAAGGGCAATTGTATGCATATTTAGATGGGAAAGTTTTACATTTCCTAGCATTCCCCAGCCAGCACTGATTTTCCCATACTTGACCCCTGTGTAGATATAGGAAGAAGTCTTTCTGAAGTCATTCCTGATGGTTCTTATAAACTTTATAATATAAAGGGATCACACACACAACTAATGGGGGGGGGGGGATAACTAATCTTTGTTTGTGCCTAGTGTTGTCCTAGAAACAAAAACATTTAGCTTCACTGACCCTAAAATTACAGTAATACTTTCTTTACCCATTATCAAGTAACATTTGGCTTAATGCCTGGCTAGAACTAATCTGCCCCAGAAGCTTTGGTTCTTATTCATAACAGGGAGATGGATGTTTAGTCTGAAGGTGTCTTTGCATTTTGTGGGGCTCACTTCTGTGTAAATTCTCTGGTGGCGCCCCATCTGTGGAATGCGCTCCCCAGAGAGGTCCGCCTGGCGCCGTCATTTGTTTTTTGGTGCCAGGTCAAGACCTTTTTATTCAAACAGTATTTTAATAATTTTTAATATTTAGTTTTAATTGTGCAGCCAGTGTGTTTCCAATTTTGAATTGTAATTGTCCTGTTTTATTTATTTATTTGTTGATGTGAGCCGTCTCAAGGCTATGTAGCAATGGGGATGGCATATAAAAACTTTAAATAATTAAAATAAATAAATCTTAATAGGATTGGGTTTTAAGGCTACAATCCTGTTCTTGTATGTTTATTACATTACATTCATACCCTGCCTTTCTTCCTCTTGCAAGGAGCTCAGGGTAGCATACAAGGCTCTCCTCTCCATTTTATCCTCAGAACAATCTTGTAAGGTAGGCTAAACTTGAGAGTCCAAGACTTGGTCAAGTCACCCATGAGCTTCATGGCTGAGTGCACACTAGAACACAGGTCTCCTAAGTCCCAGTTCAACAATCTAACCAATGAATTCAGCGCACCTTACTTCGGTTTAAACAGACTTAGCATAAGCCTGACGAACGGTTCTCTGAGCAGGTTCAGGAGCTTTTTCTTTTAAAAAGTGCTTCACCTATTAGGACAGGGAAAGCGGACCCCGGGGCTGTGCACTTCCACAAAATAAGCCGACTCCGCTTTCCATTGAAGGATTTTTTTTGGGCAGGGAAAAAGCACAGTAGGCAATTTTCGTGCTCGTACCACGACAGCAGCTCGTCGCCTGCCTTCCCTAGGGAGAGCAGCAGAAGTTACAAACATCTGGGATCGGCAACGCCAGAACCAAAGTGCTGGAGCTTCCGTTTCCCGCCCGGATCGTGTTTTGGGGAGCACTCCTGCGCGGCTGCGAGGTTGCCATGGCGCAGGCGCGGTGATTGACAGCAGGCGGGAAGGGAGCGCGCGATGGAGGAAGAGGAGGCGGTGAGGCTGGGGCGCAGGCGGTGTCTTTCGTGGTTGAGACAGGCAGCTTTGAAGGCGGAGTGGGAGTGAGGTGGAATATAAGGAAGGGCAGAGGAAGAATTAGCACAGAGAGTGGTGGGCAACCTGTGACCCTCCAAATGTTTTGGCCTATAACTCTGGGCATAGCCAGTGATGACGGATCATGGGAATTCTAGGTTGAAATATCTGGGGAAGGCATAAGAGAAACGTCTCGGTTAATGGGCAGTATAGAAATTAAATCAATCAATAAATGGACAGTGAGCCTGTTTGTATCGGGGTCTGCTTTAGGCTTCCCATCTTCTTTCATGGTAGGCCTCTAATGTATCAAAAAGTTGTATCATAGGTAGAAATTCATCTGGTTAACTCTTATTTTTCCCTCCACCATGTTATGAAAAGCTACATTTGCTGAATGTTATGCCCACTTTGCAGCTGTTAAAAACTGAGGTATCCATGGGAGGAAGAGTTAGGGCTTGAGAAGTGTTAGTGTAGTGGAGAGAAGAAACCACATGTTCATGTTCATAATTTGATTTTATTTTTAGAGAGACTACAATGAACCTTGTGTGGAATGTTCTGTTGTCAGCTGGGGTATTACAGAAGAAGGCAAATTTTACTGCAGATCTTGCCACACTGTTATAGAAGTAAGCATTAATCCTGCTGTCCTTTCTTTTTTCTATTCCCATATTTCTCTCAGTTTTAAGTGTAAGCCTTTCTTTCAGGGGTTGGGTGGCCCTCCACAAGTTGCTGATGACCAGTTTCTATCAAGCCCAACCCTTACAGTTAGTGGTAATAGGTGGTAGGCATTCTAACTCAACAAGGGCCAAAGATTTTGTGTTCCTGCTCTAGTTAAAGATGAAGTAACTCAATATGATATACACCTTTCTTAACTATTGGATTGCAGTTAGTGACATGGAACAATTAGTAGCCCTGGGTATGTATTAACATGGGAAAAATTCATCCTGGTATTTCAGGAACTCAGAAGAGCATTGTAATGCATCTTAGAGATTATCATCCAAATGTAACTCTGTGTCTATGTCAGCTCTATACATAGAGGCCTGAAAAAAATACCTGGGGAAAAAACCCTCTGTTGCTTAACTGGTGCATATATAAAGAGTTGTTTGGCTTTTTTGTTTTGTTAACCTTATATGTTTTGAAAATATCTTACAGAGGACTAGAGAAGTTTTAACTGGCGATGTTACTTCAAATGCTAGGGCACAGTCTATCTCTCGAGGACTGAAAAAAAAGAATAAACTTGGTAAGTTTTCTTTTTGCCAGTCGGTTTTAAAAACATGGAATAGTCTCACCATATGAATCTGGAGCACAACAATATTACAAGGTAGCCTTAATCAATATGCTATGATCATTAGTGTTAATTTTTTTAAGGAGATAACTGCAAAGTCTATAGGTTATGGGCATTGAAGCTCTGAAAATCCCAGCTTTAGGATTCAGAGCAGAGTTTCTTGTCCTAATGGCTTCAGGGAGATGCTGGAAATTAGAATGGCAAGTAAAATTAAGCATTTCTGAAGCATATATAAATTAGGTCATGTTTGTTATTATTTTTATGATTTGCAATCTAATCTTTTCAAGAGCTGACCAACTTTTCAAAATTGAGGAAAATACTTTCAAAGTATAGTGCTTTTGATCAATGCATCAGGATGGCTTTTTGCTACTGATGAAAGTATAAATAAATCATTTGAATGTGTGCTTATTTAATGTGTAACCTTTCTATCAAGAAGAATTGCATTGAGGGCAGCACCTAGAAATGGCATTCAATGTTCTTTCCATAAATTTATGAAGAATTATTGGTGTATTGGGTAAAAAATAGGTAGTATCTGGGTTGCAGATGAGTTCTGTTTTTGAGAATGTTCTTAAGTTGAATTTTATTTATTTATTTATTTAAACCATTTTTATGCTGCCCCATTTGCAAAAAGCCTCAGGGCGGCTTACAACAATAATAAACATAAATAAACATTTTATACAATTAGAGTTAAAAAACCAGAAACATCTCAGCATGTGCATAAAAATCCCATAAATACAATTCATAAATTAACAATTAAAATAACTTTTAAATAAAAATGTCTTGCCCTGGCGCCAAAAAACAAATAACGACGGCGCCAGGCGGACCTCTCTGGGGAGCGCATTCCATAGGTGGGGCACCACCGCAGAGAAGGCCCTCCTCCAGGTACTCACCCTCCTAATATCTTTCATGGAGGGTTCCTGGAGAAGGGCCTCTGCTGCCGATCTCAAGGGGCAGGAGGGCATATCTGGACGTATGTAAGTCAGATCACATGAGTAAGCCAAACATTTGTCTTATTATATATGTATATTTTACATTTCTATTCATATAAAACACTTAAGAAAAACTTCCATATTTACTAAAACATCTTAAACACAATATAGAATGTAATAATGATGATAATACAGTTACAATAAAGTAATTACAGATATTGAGGGGAGAGAGAATCTATGTTTGTGTAGGTATACAATATTGAAAAAGTTGTCATAACTTGCTTGGCTTAATGTGTGTTTGAGTTCATTATCTGTCCATCTTTAATTTTAATGTAAGTCCCATAAAGCCCCATAGAAAATAATGTGAATCTTTAAAAGTGATTTACCAGTTCCTCATTATCTTCTGAAGTTCTCTGACAATATAGCCCGTTGCCTGCTTATTTCATCCAAAATTCTTCATTCCATGCCATATTTGTCTCAATAGGTCCATGTACAGCAGCAGAGCTGGCTGACTTTTTGTTGAGCTTCCTGTTTCAGGTCCTGATGGAGCACATAAGCATGTTGTCTGAGGTGTTGCAGAGCAAGCTGAAAACATTTGGCCTAAGGAAATGGTGGGGGGGGGGTTCTGTGACTATCTCTAGGGAACTACATAGCCACTGAGAGATGTGTCACCAAACTCATTACATAGTTCCCTACAGATAGCCATGAATATATCTAGAGAAAAGCTGTGACATCTCTAAGGAATGGTATGATGGGTTTTTCTCAGTGTCCACGTAGTTCCCTAGAGATATTCATGACTTTTTCCTGGAGACATTCATATAGAGTTTATGGCAGTCTGTGCATTCATAAATATGAGTTGTTCATAACTTGAATATTTGTAACCTGGGGATTACCTTATGCAAATTAGTTCTGGCATCTCCAGATTAAGGGTGAATTCTATGCATATTGAGAAAGGGGAAAATCCTACACCTCCAAGTATTCCTGAGACAGTCATACTAGCTGGGAAATGCTAGGAGTTGTAGGTCTCTTCTCTTTCTAAACAGGCAAAGGATTATACCCTAACTTAGAGTTCAGGGCTACCTTTTGGATCAGAATAGGTTTCTTCACTCTTCTTCACAGAAAGATTTGAAGGAAGATATTCCTACCCTAGTTAATCACTTTCCACCTATGGCACTTTTTAGATACAAGGTGCTTTGAATCATTTGTTTTCCCTTTAAAATAATTTAAATAGGTTTCATTGAAACTTACCTAAACCTGTTCAGTAAATTTAAAGGTAAAACATCCTGCTTCTTCCCTGCCCAGTCTAAACCATTAATACTCATGTGAAATATTTAAGAACAGGAGCAAAAGGGATTGTCTCAACAGCACACACATTCATGCTGTAATAACATTTTTGTTCATTTCAATGAGTGTATTTTCATAGTATCATCATGGTATTATCAAAATAGCAAGCAAGTGTTGAGGGGAGCCCTGGTGACTGGGCTGTTTGGAAGGAGTCTTCATACTGCTCTGAGGGCAGCTTTTACATCTGGATGGCTAAAAGCTGCCCACCCCTTGCATAAGTAGTTTCAGGGAGGTAATTTAAAAGGAGGTAATTTAATAACCATTTCTTGCTTCTGTCTGGAAGCTCACATCTGATAATTTGAGCAAAATAACTTTCCAAAGGTGGTAAGACTATCTTATTGGATAGAGCAGTTTGAACAACAAAAATGGTTTGCCTAACACATAACCAGTCTTTCATGTGTAATTAGGCAGATAGCACAGTACTGTGTTCAGTAGGACTTGCTCCTTTGTAAGTATGTTTAACCTAATTTTGGCATGGACACATATGAGCTGTTAATACTAACATTCAATTTTATTTCTTTTGGTTTTTTTTAGATAAAGGCTGGGAATGGTATGTCTGTGAGGGTTTTCAGTATATTCTCTGGAAGCAAGCTGAAGCATTGCAATCTTTAGGAGTTTCTTCACAGATGAAGGTACATTGACTTAATGAACATAGTGGCTTTGTTCAGACATCCAAGGGCAAGCTGGAGCAAACCTCTGGCTTGCACACTTCCACCTTCCTCTAGCAGAGACATTTGGAAACTTTCACTTCTGCTTTAGTTTTAATTTCAGCTTATTGCTATTATTGGTGGAGGTGGTGGTGGTGGTGGTATTACATTGCCTTTATATCTCACCTTTCTTCCTGTTGTGAGGAACCCAAGGCAGCTTACATAGCTCCATTTTATCTTCACAACAACATGAGGAAGATTGGGCCTAGAGTGAATGAGTGGCTCAAAGTCACCCCTTGAGTTTCATGATTGAGTGGGTACTAAATCCCAGATCTCCTGGATCCCTAGTCCAACACTCTAACCAACATGCTACATGTCTTCACTGAGACAAAACTGTGTTGCTTGGTTGAAACAAGCAGTTTCCAAACTATTGGCTATGAAACTGGAATCTTTTCAAGAAACCACATTTAAGATTCGGGGTTGGGACTCCTCACTGTACAGATGATACTCAGCTCTGTTTCTCTCATGCCAAAGAGGTTGTGAAAGTCACAGGGGCTGTGAGCCATTGTCTGGGTGCAGGTCTGCATGTGAGTGCAAAAACGGAGGTGCAGCTAGACAGAGCAAAGGGCTTGTTTGTCAGCAGAGCATTGTTTTGGAGCACAGCCTGTTCTGGTTGGGACAGTTCTCTTCTGAAGCACCAGGTCTGTAGTTTAGGAATCCTCTTGGATCCAATACTAGAGGATTGGGTAGTGGTCATAGTCTGGATGCCTCTGCCCCATTCTGGCTGGTGTGAAAGCTATCTTTCTAGGAAAGGCAGATCTGGCTGCAGTGATCAGTTTCAATTTAGATTACCATAATGGGTTTTATAGGGACTGTCTTGAAATGATGTTTGGAGAGCTGTGCATTTTCTTTTTAAGGTTGCAGTAAAAATATCTGACTATTATGTTGTGATGCTAATGCATACCATATTTACTGTCAGGAGAAACATTGTGTATTTAGGTTAGCATCGGGTGTATTACCTGAGTTGGCTAAATGGAGGTAAGGAGAAATCATACCTGCTTGCATATCTTGTTATATCAGAATGATTTGATACAATGTTGTGTATACCTATCTGTATGAATAACCTTGACTGGAAGCATCTCTGTCTCTAGGCCTTCATTGCATGGCAAAATTGTCATACTTTTTTTAATCGATATTTTTTTCACACTAAAGAAACAATATTAATGGTAGATTTATTCCAGACTGAACATTAAGAAAGTAGGATTATATAATGTGTAAAGCAGTAAAAGGTTTGTGACTGAACATCTATCAATTAACTCTAGTGGTTGAACACTTTCCAGCATACATGAATTCAGAAACTAGGGGCAGTATCCAGTTCTACCTGTGAACCCGTGGAACTTGCTACTAGCACAGTGGAACGTTAGTCTTGCATAAAGCAGCCTGAAGTGAGCCCAAATGCTTATTCTAGAACATGAGAGGAGGGAGGTTTGCCAGCTTGTCCTGTTATGGAAACTGACAGTTTGTTTCTAAAGTTGCTCTGGGAAGCACTAGCTTCCCACTGTGCCACTGTAATGGGAGAAACCCCCTCTCCAACCCACCATTGCCGGACCAAACTCATCCATTAACAAAGGTCAGTCCCTGCAGCCACTGGATTTAGCACCACAACTCATGCAAACACTACTTCCTGCAAAAGAATGTATTAAGATGGTAGAAAGAGGGAGAGGAAGTCTGGGCTACAGAAAAGAATTGAAAGGAACACCTGTGACCATATATCCCTATCAGATCACTCAGGTCATCAAAGGGAGGCCTTCCTTCGCGACTCCCCTCCCCAGGAGGTGAGGGGGGAATCAGTGAGGAAAAGGGCCTTCTCTGTCATCACATCGCACCTTTGAAATTCCCTTCCAAGGGAGTTGTGACTGCCACCCACTTTATCTTGCTTTTGACACCAAGCTAAGACTTTATTTAGTATCTGCTTTTAGAGTGGACTATTGGTTTGTTGCTGGTTTATTGTTTTATTGTTCTATTGGTTGCTGTTTTATTGGTTACATTGTGTTTACTTACTTCTGTTCTATTTATATGGTTGTATTTCTATTTTATTTTAATCCTATTATGTTTTATGATTCTGGTTGCTACTGTTATATATTTTTATTTGTATCTTTATATTGCACTGTGAGTCTTCCAGAGAGCCTCTGGCTATGGGGCAGCAGACAAATGCAATCAACCAATCAATCAGAGAGGGAGGAAAGGGCAAGTGGATAGCAGCAATAATACAAAATATTGAAATTAGTTAATGCCCTGATTCCACACATCTGAACTCCTTGCTACACCACAGGAAGAAAACTATACAGCTATTCCTGCTCTTATGAGTCTCCTAGCGCTGGTCTCCCTTGCTATGGAGACTTTGGCAGATGGTCAGAGAGTGACACCTTTCACAAGATCAGTATCCATCTGAAGGCAAAGACTCTCCCAAGTCAGGGGTTTTTCAGCCCCATTGTCCTGGCAATAGAGTGATACCAGCTAACCATTCCAGCCAGCCCTCCCCAGCTGCTAGCAGTTCTTATCATTGCTGTCCAAGGTAATGGCTCTAACCAGATATCCTTGGGCCTGTCTTCTGTGATAAGCCTAGGAGAGCAAGTCTTTCCCTCACCCTTTGCAATTGGAGTGTCTCCTAAGCCAATTAACTTGTACTGAACTCCTCTGTAGCTCCTAATGTCTTTGCTTACAGCCACAGTTAGCAGAGGTGCACAGGTAGTGTGGGGTATTTCAGTTCCTAAAGTGTGTCTGCAATATATGTAAAAACCTGGCTGAATATTTGTTTTTTTTTTTTTTATCAGGATGGTGTTCTGGCTAACTTTTGGAGACGATACCTTCAGAAGAGCAAGCAGGCTTATTGTGACAAGCCTTTTAGTGATGCTACGTACAGTACTTCACCAGTAAGTATAAAGTTCAGAACTGATGAATACTTATCTTTTCTATGTTGATATGGTGAAAAATATGCATGCACCAGATCAATAAATGAGTATTCACATGACCAAGGTATGGCAGTGCTTGAATCTCATATTTATCCTATGAAACTCAACTCCTTACAAAAAATAAAATATTTCCAAAGCAGTAGCCTTGTTAGTCTGTTGCAGCCAAAACAACAGTGACTTGTTGCACTATAACACAATTAGTTACCTTTTAGGGTGGAATAGAAGTCTTTGTTTATGCAAGAATCCAACTCTTTGGTGAGAAGTAGAGCCATCAGCAATAGTGGAGTATGCTTAGTATTTTTAATTGTTTGTTTCAGATTAATGTTGATTATAAATATTCTGCAATTTTAGCTATCTGGGGCATCAAATCCAACAGATGGAGCTGAATTTTTCTATTTTTCAGAAATCGTATTCTAAAAATGCCAGCAAAAAACTTAGTGGCTTGGCTAAGGTAACATTTTATAACCCTTTACAGAGTGTACAGTTTTCCCTTATAAGTTCTATTTTAGTCCAATACTGGCTTAGTTTGAACCCAGATACTCCTCTGAATTATCTTAACCTAACTTGGAGCAGGTGGATAGCGTATTCATACTCATGTTAGACCAGTCACAGTGAGAAGAGATGGTAAGAGAGCTCTAGAAGGGTGCGCATGATCTTGTGATCACTATCCGAACCAGTCCATTGATTTATCCCAAGATTTTTGAAGATGGTAGTAACTGCATGAAAATATTGAGTTAAGGTTTAGTGTCTCAAGAAAATTGTGACTCTGCACTTATCAAATTGGTTGTGAATCTGTTGGTATGAAAGAAGTTGTTTTACCTGCAGATGATTCCGTGGTGGATTATGTTTGATATTGTGCTCCTTTTAAATGAAATTTCTCCCACAAATCCAGCCTATCTTCATGCAAGAGGCATAATCCTTAAAGATTGATATTGTTAGGCATTTTTTCTTGAGTTGTACAAGTTAACCAAATGTTTTTCTGATAAAGATTGTTTTAACAGAGTTTTAAAAAGTTTAAATGTAACATTTTGAATGAAAGCTCTGTAATTGGAGTCTGACACTACTTTTTAATTTTAGAAACAGCTACAGAGTACAGATACTGAAGAGGAGCCAGATTTTATTAAACTTCTTGACTTGGTTTCCTCTGCAACTGATACAGATTTGTTGTCTGAATCTAGCATTGGAGGAATTTCATCTAGCAAAATATCTGGTAAGAATAAATATACCTTGGGCAGAGTTTTTATATAGTTACTTTAGATATGCAAACACATGGTTTGTTTGTTCTAGTTAAACACCTAGAATATTTGACTAATGTATATATTGATCCCAAAAAATTGCCTATATTCATAATCATTAAAAAAGAAATTGTAGCCACAATGAAAATTCCTAAACATGATAATATTGACCTCTTTTGAATATAACACCAATTCATAGATTGACAGTGCCTGCTTGCCACATTCCAAGCACGCCAGGAACATTCAATTTCTGAGTTGTTCGTTGTGACATCCAAACCTGACATATTCTGAGTCGTGCAAGATTAAGCAACTAAAAAATGTGGGCTTTAACCCCCCCCCCCCCCACACACACACATATTTTTAAAATTCAACAGCACAGGTTCAAACTGGGTTGTTTTGCCTTCAACAGCTCAGTGTGGCATTTGGATGTCATGAGTGACAACCTTGGAACTGGTGTGTACCTGTGTGGGTGTTCCTGGGTTTCAGAAAAGAGATGAAAAGTGGAAGTGGTAGGTGAGAAACAGTGCACTTGCTTATTTGTGCTCAGTCTCAGTAATGCATGGGTTAAAACATAAGATACTGCACTGAAATGTACCCTAGGATAAAGCAAGACTGTTCAAGTCATGAGGTTAAAGAAGGTGGAGAATTTGGACTGAAGAAGGTTCATGTGGTTGGAAGGATGTAGGAGACTGGGCATGGACAAGCATACAGAGATTTATAGAATATTTTGTAAAGGTTGGAGTGGGGATCCAATTACCTCTGTGTGAGTAATGTGGATTTTACAGGGGCAATTTGGATGCATGATGGCATCTGGAGATGTGATCTGCTACAGATTTTTGTGGAGCTAGTAGAATGTATGCCTTTCTTAATAAGGATCCTTTAGAATTCATTGTTATGAATTCGGTTCTTCTGACTGGAAATGTATAATTCCTCAAATGGATTAACAAGTGGTAGTTGATCAGGCATAAATGTGGAAACACCTGTTGCATACCTATTCTTTATTATGCAAGGCCTAACAGAACCTTGGGCAAAAGTCATTGTCACTGTGGGATCTCGAGAGCAACTCTCTGTATAAGAGGTTTATGCATGTGAACAGTAATGGGACAGAAATATGATTGCTATAACTTCAGAGCTGCATAGTTTAGCTTACTGCTAATGACTGAAAAAATGGGAACTTCAAATCTGCTTCTGTAACAATTGCTTATTATAGGATGTTTGGGGTTTGTAGATGTTTATCTGTTCTGACTATCATGTCATTGTTCTCCAACTTGGCAGGTTGAAACCCTCCATTTGGTGCAGTATATAGACACTGTTTGGGAAGCCTATTAAAATTGTAGGTTGTTATGACATGTCTTAAATTGTATGTTGTGTTAGGTTTAATGCTGACTTTCTAATATGCCCTGCATAATCTAGAACAAATAAAATGAAAAGCTGCTGTATTTAACATGATGGTTACGAATAGAACACAAGGATTATTGTAAATCTGGCTGAATGTGGAGTTAGGAATAGAGTTTCTATCATCAGTGCTCTTGAGACACAGCCCATACATGAAAAAGGCAAAACCGATGACTGAAAGGATTAAGTGAGGTTCATACTTTTTGTTCTGTGACTCACATTTATACAGTCATCATTCAAAGGTGCTCCTGTATTTCCTTCTAAGCTTTTCAAAGCCACGTACTGAAGGGTGGTTTTTGAGTAACAACTTTCATTTGCTTTGTTTAACACCAGTAAAGGCAAAGTAATACTAAATTTGGTGGAATGGCTAATGTCAATAATTGGAACATATGTGTCCCCACATTCTTGTAGGAAATATATTTTGGGAAAGCAGTCCAACACAATGCATCAGGAGTGCATAAGGAGTTTATAAAGTGCTTGCTAAGTCAATACAAAGTTTTCTGCATGCAGGCTAGGGTTGATGTAACATCCTTTTTGCTTTTTTAAAGTTATTCACGCTGTAGCTTGAATTAATTGCCTCAAAAACAAAACAGCCAAAGAAGTTTATTGATTAGAATTCTGGCATGGGACTGAGGAGATCTAAGGGTAAGCCATAAAGTGCCCTAGATCAGTGATTTTCAAGCACTAGTATGGGGTCTAGTGCCAGTCATAGGAGACTTCCTGCCGGTCCACAGCAGGGCCGCATCCAACTCACCGCAGACTGGTGCAGGGGCTGGCTGTGCTCCACTGCCTCTTCCTCAGTTGGCACTGCGTTCACAAGGAGTGCGCTGGTGCCTCCAGGGAGGGGAGAGATAACTCAGTGTGTAGCCACGCTGCACTGACTTCACGAATGGAGCCAACTGGAGCTGGGGGTCAGTCTGGATGGCTCAGGAGGCCCGTTCTGACTCGCTCTGTTTCTATGATTTCGGTATCTTGTTCTTTTGTTGACACTGTTGCTCACTTTCTGGTTCTTTTGGAAATTTTTCATTTTTCTGGAACTGTGTTTGGAAACTAATGCACAGAATACTGCATTATGTGTATGGTGGTTTTTGTTTCTGCCTTGGCAGTCCCTGAGGAGGTTTTCCTGGTTGTGCTGGTCCCCAGCTGTGGAAAGGTTGAAAACCACTGCCTTAGATGATCTTGAGCCAGTTATTGTCTTTCAGTTCACCCTATCAGCCTGCTGTGAGAAGAAAATAGGGGTGTAACAGGGTGTAATCTTCCTGGTACTCTTTGCGGGGAAGGACAGGATATCAGGAGTAATAAACAATGATCCTCAAAAGAGCTTAGAATAATAACTGTCAAAAAATAACCTTTTGTTCCTCAGCACTTCATATTGACAAATATACTGTATATGTTTAATAATGTGTGTGAAAAGTTTAGGCATTATGATAATGAAAGATTGTTTGGAGCTGTATAAAATATGTTCATATTTGTGCAGGCTCTTTACAGAATATTGGTCTCACCTGCTCAATTTGCAGCATAAATTCTGAATCCCTAATGAGTAATACCTGTTGATTTACAATGTTTCTTTTAATGGTATGGCTGCAGAAAAAAAAAGTTGCTGCTTTCTCCCACCATTCTTGTGGTTGCATGATTTTATTTCACTGATTAAACCTTTTTTACATAACTTTTATACTTTTTTTATGTTGTGGGGTTTTTCCTGCTATTTGAGTAAAAAATCTTAAATTCTTCCTATGTGGTCCACATGGTAAATTATTTTTAACCTAACATAAGTTTAACTTGTATGGAAAGTTGTACTTTAAGAAGACCTACTTATGCTTAATACTTCATTTTAATCTGTAAAGATTACATCAGTTTCTTTGCTATCCTCCTGGCTATGCTGAGAAGTGAAATCTTTTGTAGAGGTGTAGTCTGTTGATATACTCGCACACACCTTTTGAGCCAGCTCTAATTTGTGGTTTCAGCAGTATTATTCATTCTTTCGTTCTGTATTTCTCATCTGTGTAGCTGGGGAAATGTTTGTGTTGGTGCAATGAGATTAGCTAACAAGATTTGAAAGTAAAGACCCCAATTTCTTGTTTTCGTTTACATTACTGAAAAGGTAACCAAAACGATCAAGAGGGTTGAACAACTCCACTTTGAGGAAAGATGATGGTGTTGGAGCTGTTTAGAAAAAAGAAGAGTGCAGGAGACCTGACAGAATATAGAAAAATTAAGAGTGTATAAAATAAGAGATGTGGAGAAAGTGGAAAGGGAAATGTTTTTCTTCCTTTCTCTTAAGAACTTAAGAGCCATGCTGGATCAGACCAGCCAGCTGTCTAGTCCAGTGTTCTATCACACTGTGGCAAACCAGCTTTCCACAGGTTCCTACAAGCAGAATATGAGTACAGTAGCACCCTTCTGCCTAAATTCCTGAGCAACTAATGTAGATAGCTGATACTGGAGGTAGCATGTAGCCATCAGGACTAGCAGCCATTGATAGATTTCTCCTCCATGAATTTGTCCAGTAACCTTTTCAAGTTTTCCAAATTCATGGACATCACTGCATCTCATGGAAGTGAATTCTATATTTTAACAGTGCACTGTGCAAAGAAGTATTTCCTTTTGTATGTCCTGAATGACCTCAGTTTCTAGTATTATGGGAGAGGGAAAATGTGTCTTCCTATCTACCTTAGCCACACCATGCATAATTACATGCAACTTTAGCCTGTCTCCCCTTAGCTGCTTTTTTCTCTAAGTTAAATGGTCTCAACCAATGTAACCTTTCATCATAGGGGAGTTGCTCCAACCCATTGATCATTTTAGTTCTTTTCTGTGCTTTTTCAACTGTGCAATATCCTTTTTAGATGTAGTAAGCAGAACTGTATGTGATATTCTATGTTTAGTCACCTTAGTTTTGTATAAGAGCAGTATGATATTGGCTGTTGTATATTCAGTTCCTTTCCTGGGTATGCTAAACATGGATTTTGCTGTTTTCACTGCAGTATTGCATTGTGTTGACATTTTCATTGAGTTCTCCTCCTCAAACCCAAGATGCCTTTCTTGGTCAGTCACCTCTAGCTCAGATCCCAATCAGCTTATATTTGAGGTTGGATGGTACTGGTGGTGGTGGTGGTGGTGGTGGTTTTGCCCTAGCATGCATTACTTTAGACATGCTTATTTTGAACTCTATTTGCCATTTTGATGCCAATTTTCCCAGCTTGAAGAGTTCCTTTTGGATTGCCTCACAATCCCTTTTGGTTCTAACCACCCTAAATATTTGGGTGTCATCAGCAAACTCATCTATTTTACTGCTTGCTCCTAATTCCAGATCATATAAGAATCAATCGAAATGTATTGGTCCTAGTATAGACTCATGTGTGACTCCCACTGCTTATATCCCTCTGTTGGGAAAAATAGCTTTTATTTTCCCCCTGTACTTTAACCCAGCTTTTGTCAACCTTTTTACCTTGGAGGAACCCTTGAAATAAGTTTCATGTCTCAGGGAACCTCTGTATAAAAATCACTATAAATAATTATAAATATGCTATAACATCATCATCATCCCCTTGGTCCAGCCTGTGCACATGCATTCAGAAATACCACAATTTAATTTTTATTGTTATTTTATTACTGTGGCATACCACCCTGCCACCCTTCTCATAAATTGCTTTATAGATTAAGAGAGGAAAGGCTTTCTGCCCTGGTCTCTTCCCTCATGGGCAGGAATGCTCCCTGGGCCCCCTCCTACCTCCTAGGCAACAGGGGCAAGCAAAGGACTCCTCAGGCAATAGCTTGTAAATGCGAAAACACAATTTGATAGATCAATTTCTCCATGATCCCTTGCAGAATCCCCAGTGACCCTTTGCAAAGCCTTAGGGTTCCAAGGAACTCTGGTTGAGAAAGGCTTCTTTAACTAGTTACTGATCCATAAGAGAATTCCTCTTACTGCATAAATGTTAGGTTTACTCAGGAGTCTAAGGGACTTTGCCAAGGCCCAAATAAACAATATCAACCAAATAACCCCTGTCCATGTGTTTACTGACATTTTCAAATAATGCTATAATTTAGGGTCATCCCATGAAGCTGAATGGTAGAAAATTTAGGGAAGAGGAAGGAAATAATTCTTCACACACAGTTTTGTTAAATTATGGAATTTGCTAGAACTAGAGTGTAGTATGGCTTTAAAAGGAAGAAAATAATAAATTCATCGAAGATGATGTTGTCCATGAATACTAGTCATGATGTCTATATTCGCTCCAGTCTGTCACTGTATGCCAGCTGCTGAGGAACATGAGTGGTAAGGTACTATTGCATTCATGCCCCGCTCATGGGCTTCTCATAGGCATCTAAGTAGAAGGGCCTTTGATCTGATCCAGCATGGCTCTCCATACGTTCTTACGAATTTAAAGAGAATGCAGACTGACTTTATTGCCAAACTTGTTTCAATTGTTTTGCCTTGTTTCTTTCTCTGCTTATGGCAGGCTTTTCTCAAGGTATGTAACCTGCCACTTGGGACAAAATGTATTGTGCTGGAATGATTATGCAGGTGTTCTTTTTAAACATGATGTGCATATTGATTCAGGATAGTATCATCAGATAGCTTGTTTTACATTTCCTAAATTACTTCCATAGAAAAATCTGTCTGGTCTGGATCAGTGGATGGTAGCTCATACATAGGGAAAAGGAAGAAAGGAGACATGAGAATGTCAATGCCAATGACCCTGGCCTTCTGCTATTTGGCATTGCTCTGGCTGAGAGAATCAATAACATTATCAGATCTCTTAAGGTAAGAACGATGCCTAATGAAGCCTTTTGTTTTTAAGCCTACATTCCGTTTCCAATTTAAATAAAACTTTTTGTATGACTATATTATATAAGACTTAGCACATGTGAATAAGTAAATTTGCAGTATTTGTAGGCCGCGTTTTAGCAGAGAGCTGTTTGAAAGGTGGATTGCAAAGACGTAATTCATAAAAGCAGTATAACAGTATAATTTAATACCAAAAATTAAAAATAGATAAAGTATTAATCCTGAAGCACCCAATGGAATAAAGTTATTTCACTAGCCCTGGAAAAGAAATTGATGAAATGTACATACGGTTGTCCTAGAGAAGAACATTCTGCAGTGATACCTTAGAAGTCTTGAATCTTTTTAGACCTGGAACCCGCTTTTTGCCTAACCATGCATTTTAGAATCCATTTCTTAAGTTTTTTTCACTGATCTATATGGGTACAGTACTATTGGTATGTTTCACCAAATGTCAGGTTACAACCTTGCCATAGATCCCTGACTGAGTTGAAGTGGAATGTGTGGCTTGTAGCCTGTCGCTCCACTGGAACTAGTGTTGCTTTTGAAGTTTTCCCAGACTGCAATTTTCAGAAATGGGGGCAGAGTCTGAAATAAACTCACTCAGTTGGGAAATTGCAGAGCTGTTATAAACCAAGCTGAACTCCTGCTCTGAATTTCGGAATGGCTTCTAATGCTCAGTAGCAGCCTTTTCATCTGCCAGTTTTCTTTTCTTCCCTTTCCCCACTGTTTGTAAAGCAGAGGGAAATAGCAATGAAGGATAAACCTGAAACATGCATTCTGAGCACTTTCAGTGTACTCCCTTTTCTCAGTTGCTCTTTACTAATTGATACAGAAAAATTGTTGTTGTTGTTGTTGTTAGTTGTGAAGTTGTGTCCGACCCATTGTGACCCCATGGACAACATTCCTCCAGGCCTTCCTGTCCTCCACCATCTCCTGCAGTCCACTTAAGCTCACACCAACTGTTTCAGTGACTCCATCTAGCCACCTCATTCTCTGCCGTCCCCTTCTTCTTTTGCCATCTATCGTTCCCAGCATTAGGCTCTTCTCCAGGGAGTCCTTCCTTCTCATTAGGTGGCCAAAGTATTTGAGTTTCATCTTCAGTATCTGGCCTTCTAAAGAGCAGTCAGGATTGATCTCCTCTAGGACTGACCTGTTTGATTGCCTTGCGGTCCAAGGGACTCGCAGGAGTCTCCTCCAGCACCACAATTCAAAGGCCTCAATCGCTTTGCGCTCAGCCTTCCTTATGGTCCAGCTTTCACAGCCATACATTGCAACTGGGAAAACCATAGCCTTGACTATACGCACTTTTGTTGGCAGGGTGATGTCTCTGCTTTTTAGTATGCCGTCTAGATTTGCCATAGCTTTCCTCCCCAGGAGCAAGCATCTTTTAATTTCTTGGCTGCAGTCCCTGTCTGCAGTGATCTTGGAGCCCAGGAAAATAAAATCTGTCACTACCTCCATTTCTTCCCCATCTATTTGCCAGGAAGTGAGAGGACCAGATGCCATGATCTTAGTTTTCTTAATGTTGAGTTTCAAGCCAACTTTTGTGCTCTCCTCCTTCACCCGCATCAAGAGGCTCTTTAGTTCCTCTTCACTTTCTGCCATGAGAGTGGCATCATCTGCATATCTGAGGTTGTTGATATGTCTCCCAGCAATCTTAATTCCAACTGGTGATTCATCTAGCCCCGCCTTATGATGTGCTCTGCATATAAGTTAAATAGGCAGGGCGACAGTATACAGCCTTGCCAAACACCTTTCTCAATTTTGAACCAATCAGTGGTTCTGTGTCCAGTTCTCACTGTTGCTTCTTGACCCGCATATAGGTTTCTCAAGAGACAAATAAGATGGTCTGGTACTCCCATCTCTTTAAGAACTTGCCACAATTTGTTGTGATCCACACAATCAAAGGCTTTAGCATATTCAATGAAGCAGAAATAGATATATTTCTGGAACTCCTTAGTTTTCTCCATGATCCAGCGTATGTTGGCAATTTGATCTCTAGTTCCTCTCCCTCTTCGAAATCCTGCCTGTACTTCTGGTAGTTCTCGGTCCACATACTGCTGGAGCCTAGCTTGTAGGATTTTGAGCATCAATTTGCTAGCATGTGAAATGAGTGCAATGGTGTGGTAGTTTGAGCATTCTTTGGGATTGCCCTTCTTTGGGATTGGAATGTAAACTGACCTTTTCCAATCCTGTGGCCACTGTTGAGTTTTCCAAATTTGCTGGCATATTGAGTGTAGCACTTTAACTGCATCGTCTTTTAGGATTTTGAAGAGCTCAGCTGGAATGCTGTCGCCTCCACTAGCTTTGTTGTTGCTCAGACTTCCTAAGGCCCATGTGACTTCACATTCCAGGATGACTGGCTCGAGGTCAGTGACCACCCCATTGTGGTTGTCAGGGACATTAAGCTCTTTCTTGTATAGTTCTTCTGTGTAATCTTGCCACCTCTTCTTAATCTCTTCTGCCTCTGTTAGGTCCCTGCCATTTTGGTCCTTTATCATGCCCATCTTCTTTTATATTGTTATTTATTTTATATTGTTAATTTTATATTGTTATTTTTGTATTTTATTGTATTTTATTTGTGCTGTGAGCTGCCCCGAGGCTTCGGTAAGGGGCAGCATAGAAATGTTTTAATAAATAAATAAATAAAATAAATCTTTGCATGAAATGTTCCCTTCATATCTCCAATTTTCTTGAAGAGGTCTCTGCTCCTCCCTATTCTATTGTTTTTTTCTATTTCTTTGCACTGTTCATTTAAGAAGGCATTCTTATCTCTTCTAGCTGTTCTCTGGAATTCTGCATTCAATTGTTTGTATCTTTCTCTTTCTTCCTTGCCTTTTGCTTCCCTTCTTTCCTCAGCTATTTGTAAAGCTTCCTCAGACAGCCATTTTGCTTTCTTGCATTTCTTTTTCTTTGGGATGGTTTTAGTTGATACCTCTTGTACAATGTTGCAAACCTCCGTCCATAGTTCTTCAGGCACTCTGTCTATCAGATCTAATTCCTTAAATCTATTTGTCACCTCTATTGTATATTCATCAGGGATATGATTTAGGTCATACCTGACTGGCCTAGTGCTTTTCCCTACTTTCTTCAACTTAAGTCTAAATTTTGCAACCAGAAGCTCATGATCTGAGCCACAGTCAGCTCCTGGTCTAGTTTTTACTGACTGTATAGAGCTTCTCCATCTTTGGCTGCAGAGCACATAGTCAATCTGATTTCTGTGTTGACCGTCTGGTGATGTCCATGTGTAGAGTCGTCTCTTGGGTTGTTGGAAAAGAGTGATTGCTATGACCATCTTATTTTCTTGACAAAATTCTACCAGCTTGTGCCCTGCTTCATTTTGTACTCCAAGGCCAAACTTGCCTGTTATTCCGGTTATCTTTTGGCTTCCTACTTTAGCATTCCAATCCCCCATGATGATAAGGACATCATTTTTTGAAGTTAATTCTAGAAGGTGTTGTAGGCCTTCATAGAACTGGTCAACTTCAGCCTCTTCAGCACCAGTGGTTGGGGCATAGACTTGGACTATTGTGATGCTGAATGGTTTTCCTTGGATTCGAACTGAGATCATTCTGTCATTTTGGAGGTTGTATCCCAGTACTGCTTTTCCTACTCTTTTATTGACTATGAAGGCTACTCCATTTCTTCTGAGGGATTCTTGCCCGCAGTAGAATACCCGATGGTCATCTGGATTAAATTCACCCATTCCTGTCCATTTTAGTTCACTGATTCCTAAGGTGTCGATGTTCAGTCTTGTCATCTCTTGTTTGACCACATCCAGCTTGCCTTGATTCATGGATCTTACATTCCAGGTTCCTATGGAGTAAAGATCTTTGCAGCATCAGACTCTCCTTTCACCACCAGATACATCAGCAACTGAGTGTCCTTTCAGCTTTGACCCAGTCGCTTCATTCTTTCTGGCACTACTAGTACTAGCCCTCTGCTCTTCCCCAGTAGCATATTGGACACCTTCCGACCTGAGGGGCTCATCTTCCGGTGTCATATCTTTTTGCCTTTTGGTACTGTCCATGGGGTTTTCATGGAAAAGATATTGGAGTGGGTTGCCATTTCCTTCTCCAGTGGATCACGTTTTGTCAGAGCTCTCTGCTATGACCTGTCCGTCTTGGGTGGCCCTGCACGGCATAGCTCATAGCTTCATTGAGCTACGCAAGCCCCTTCACCACGACAAGGCAGTGATCCATGAAGGAGCAGTGATCCAGAGTTAAGCAAAAGACTATCTCCTCCCTCTGTGCCAGTTAATATTTTACATTGGACCACTAACTTTCACCAATATGTCCAAGTTTCATGATACACCCATGTAATAATGCAGTATTGGCAGGATGTGAAGGCTGGAGGGCTACAGTCAATTGCCCTTCTGGTTGTACTCTCATTCTTACAAATTAAGGATATTTTAAATGTAATATTCTGCTGGGATTCGAGAGTTCAGTCATGTACTGTGTTTTATTTATTTGTTTGTTTGTTTATTTGGAATTTTTGTATGGCGTCCCATTCACATGAGCCTCGGGATGGCTTCCATACAATAAATAAACAAACCATATAAATATTGCACATAAAATCCAGATTCACCCTGGCTGTAAAATTAAAACCAATAAATAATATTAAAAGTTGTTAAAATATTGTTTAAATAAAAAGGTCTCGGCCTGGTGCCGAAAAACAAATAACGGCGCCAGGCAGAGCTCTCTGGGGAGCACATTCCATAGCTGGGGCACCACCGCAGAAAAGCCCTCCTCCAGGTACTTAGTCTCCTAATGTCTTTCACAGAGGGTTCCCGGAGGAGGGTCTCTGCTGCCAATATCAGGGGGTGGGAGGGCAAATATGGAAGCAGGCATTCCTTTAGGTATACAGGTCCCAAGCCGTTAAGGGCTTTGTAGGTGATAACCAGCACCTTGAATTGAGCCTGGACTTCGATGGGGAGCCAGTGAAGCTGGTAGAGGACTGGGGTTATGTGACAGTAATGCCCAGTCCCCATCAACAACCTGCCTGCTCTATTTTGCACCATCTGAAGTATCTGGACTGTCTTCAAGGGCAGCCCCACGTAGAGTGTGTTACAGAAGTCCAATCGGGAAGTAACCAATGCATGTGTCACTGTTGCTAGGCAATCGTCCTCCAGGTAGGGACGCAGCTGATGGATTAACCGAAGCTGAAGGAAAGTGCTCCTCGCCACCGCAGTCACTTGAGCTTCCAAAGACAGCTCTGGGTCGAGGAGCACTCCCAAGCTGCGGACCCTGTCCTTTAGAGGGAGTGCAACCCCATTCAGGACAAGGTCCAAGTCACCTACCCAGGAGCCCGAACCACCCATCAACAGGAACTCTGTCTTGTCTGGATTGAGTTTCAGTTTATTGACCCTCATCCAGCCCATTACCTCTGTCAGGCACTGGTTCAGTACAGCCACTGCCTCACCTGGATTGGTTGAAAAAGAGAGGTAGAGCTGGGTATCATCAGAGTACTGATGATTCCACAGCCCACACCTCCTAATGACCTCTACCAGCGGTTTCATGTAGATGTTGAATAGCAAGGGGGACAAAATGGATCCCTGTGGTACTCCATGGCATAGCTGCCATGGCACAGAGCCATAGTCCCCCAGCACCACCTTCTGGAATCGGCCGTTGAGGTAGGAGCAGAACCACTGCAAAGCAGTGCCTCCTACTCCCAGTCCCGCTAGCCTATCCAGAAGGATACCATGGTCGATGGTATTGAAAGATGCTGAGAGGTCTAGGAGGACCAACAGGGATGCACTCCCCCTGTCTCTCTCCCTGCACAGCTCATCATACAGGGAGACCAAGGCAGATTCAGTATCATACCCGGGTCTGAAGCCAGACTGAAATGGGTCCAGATAATCAGTCTCATCCAAGAGTGCTTAGAGTTGTCCCGCCACCACCCATTCCAACACCTTGCCCAGAAATGGGATGTTGGCCACCAGTCTATAATTGGTGGCCATCTCTGGATCCAGGGACGCCTTCTTTAGGACCGGCCTGACTACTGCCCCCTTTAGAGGGGCAGGCACCCAGCCGTCCCTCAGAGAGGCGTTGATGACCTCCAGGATCCAGGCACCAATCCCGTGTTTGGCTTTGGTCAGTAGCCACGATGGGCAAGGGTTGAGTAAACAGGTGGTGGGATGTACTTGTCCAAGCACCTTGTCCACTTCAGGCCGCAATAACTGAAACTCATCCAATAATATCTGACCAGACGGAGACATTGGCACCTCCCCTAAGGGATCTGAATCACTACTGGAGTCCAGCTCATGACGAATCTGAGCAATTTTCTCCTTAAAATGCTTGGCAAAGTCATCACAGTGGGCCATCGAGAGTGGTACGGGATCTTTCTTAGGGCCTGGATGTACCAGCCACCGTACCACCCGAAAGAGCTCCGCTGAACAGCATTGTGAGGCGGCAATGGAAGTGGAGAAGAATTTCTTCTTCGCCACACGCACCGCCACAGCATAGGCTTTATAGTGAGCTTGTAAGTGTGTTTGGTCAGATTCATCCCGTGATTTCCTCCACCTACACTCTAGACGTCTCCCAACCTGCTTCATCGCCCGTAATTCAGGTGTATACCAAGGGAATGAACGGGCTCTGTCGGAAGGGAGAGGACACTTAGGAGCGATCATGTCAATAGCTCTGGCCATTTCTCCATTCCACAATTCAACCAGAGCATCGACAGGAATGCCAGCCTTATCAACCGGAAACTCTTCCAGAGCTTTCAGGAATCTATCTGGATCCATCCAGCTCCGAGGGCAGACCAACACAATAGGGTTCGCACCCTTACAGAGGGAAAGGCCAGCATCGAACTCAAACCTCACAAGGAAGTGATCTGACCATGACGGGAATCAGACACAAATTCCTTGCCCTCAGATCACTCTCTTCCTGCCCCGGTGAGAAAACCAGGTCCAGCATGTGTCCACGTTCATGGGTCAGGCCCATGACATGTTGAGACAACCCCATGGCCGTCATAGAGGCCATGAAGTCCTGAGCTGCCCTGGTCAGAACAGTCTCGGCATGGAGATTGAAGTCCCCCAGGACCAACATCCTGGGGGTCTTCAACACCAGGTCCGAGACGATCTCCGTCAACTCAGGCAGGGAGTCTGATGGGCAGAAGGGTGCACCGTACACCAGCAGAATCCCCAATCTGTCTCAGTCGCCCAACACCAGATAGAGGCACTCTAGACCCAGTCTCGAGAGAACAGGAAGCCCCGCAAGGGAGATAGAAGCTCGATAAATTAAAGCAACCCCCCCCTCCGGGCGTGGCTGGTGCTGGACCAGATACCCAGGTGAGCACAGTAAAGAGAGCGACACATCCCCCCCTCTCCCGCCTAAGTCTCTGTTATGCAAGCCAGGTCGGCCCCCTCATCCACAGTCAGGTCGTGGATGAGGGATGTTTTGTTGTGGACCGACCTGGCATTAAGCAACAGCACCGTCAGGCCCGAGGGGCAGTTGATAAGCATACCCGGAACCTTCCGGCTGGGGGAATAACCAGAAGGGGGAACAGGTGTCAATCATCTGTCCCTCCTCCTTCTACACTGACACGTTAAACCCCCAACGCCATAACGACCATTGCCCAATACCACCCCAATGGTAGCACCCACGTGCTCCCCAGGCAACCTCATGGTAGCAGCCAGGTGTGAATCCATTAAAACAATCTAAGTTAAAATACAATTTAAAATGCAATAAAACCCTCCAACCACCCAATTACAAAAAGCCACCCACACAAAGTCTATGGCCAGCCCAGCCCCCGAACGGCCCCAAACGGCGTCACCGCCCTTAGGCCATTGCCCTTTGGCCTCCAGCTCATGGCCCACGGCTGCGGCCAGTGACTTAAGCCAGTGGCCCCTCCCTGCGCCCCGCCCCCTATTCGGCGTAGCTGCCACCCATGCCGACGGGGGAGGGGGGCAAGGGTGGCCACGGAGAAACTCACCGACGACAATGGAGGGCCCACATGCTGGCAGTAGCGTCCCCCGGTCCTGGTCCCACGCTGGGCAGCTGCAGCATCAGTGGGCAGGGCAGGTCGGCCTCGGTGTCTGCGGGCGGCGGTGGAAGGTGATGGCCCAGTCCAGTCCCAGCTCCGGCCCGTTTTAGCTTTGTAATTGAATTTAGCTGTGCCTACTGAACTAAATCGCCATGAACATACTGATTTTACTTGTTTCCCTTTTGCTCAGACTGGTAATGGATGGTCACATTCCTTACTTGAATGCTTATAAAGATTTCCCAGAGAAGATGAAGATGTATGGGGCTGATTTCAAGATCTTTCATGTACAGGTGATTTCTGTTCATTCATCTGATTTATGCACTACATGCATGTATGGTGGCTCTGATGAATTAAAGTACATATTCTACAAGATACTCTTAAAGTGGATATTCTTAACTTACTCTATAATTTATAATAATATTGCTGGTAATAACCCTTTCTCTGTTTGCTACTTATGTCAAGATTCTATATTTGATACAGTTATTTATTAAGATTTTATCATTTATCTTGTAGGGAAGGCCCATGGCTGGGACCTATGTCACCTAGAAAAAGGACTTATGTATAAACTCAACATCATGGCAGGGTTCTGGATAGAAATCTTAGGGTGCAGTCCTAGATAGAAGAAAATCCTGCAACAGCATGGGCAACTGGTTATACTGGGGGTTGTAGGACATTTTTCTGTATAAAGGTGCACTGGATTGTACCCTTATTGGCTCATGTTTACAGGGAGGCAAGATGTTTTCTGGCCATTGGTAGATACATTTGAACTACATTATTATCCATAATGATTACATAGCATATCTTGCCCTTTTTCTTCTTGCAAGGAACCCAAGGTGGCTTACATAGCACCATTTTATTGACACAGCAACAGCCCTGTGAGGTAGCTAAGGCTGAGAGTAATTGCCACAAAGTCACCCAGTGAGTTTCATGGTGAATGGGGACTAGAATCCAGATCCTCAGTCCAGCTCTCTAACAATCACACCACACAGACTCTGAATAGAATGTAACAAAACTTTGGGATAATTATATGTAGTTCATGAGCTTTATATGGCAACCTATTATATCAGAGGAAGCCAAAACCCTTAGTATATGGGCTTCTCATATTCTAAATCATTCTAAATTTCTACCTATTTATTTATTTAAAGCCTTTATAGACCATCCATCTACTGGCATCTTGGGACAGTTTACAACAAGCAACAAGTAAAACAGGAAATAAGATGTCACAGCATATGATTCAACAATATTAAACCACATTAAAACCAATTAAACGTAAAAATAATAGGAAAATAAAAAGAGTTTTGCCTGGTGCCTAAAAGAAATAAGTGTTGGCACAAGGTGAATCTCTCTGGGGAGCGTATTCCATAATCAGGGCACCACCGCAGAGAAGACCCTCCAGGTAACTAGCCTCCTAATCCCTTTCAAGGAGAGCTCCCAAAGAAGGCCCTCCACCTCAGATCTCAAGGAGCACAAGGATGTATAGGGAAGGAGGCGCTCCTTCAGGTATCTTGGACCCAAGCCATATAGGGGTTTATAGGTCATCACCAGCACCTTATATCAGGCCTGAACTTCAATTGACAGCCAGTGTAAGTGGGAAAGGACCGACATTATATGCAAATACTTGCCGGTCCCCATTAATATCCTCGCAACTCTATTCTGAACCAACGGAAGCATCTGGACCATCTTCAGTGGCAGCACCATGTAAAGCATGTTATAGTAATCCAGTCAGGAAGTTACCAGGGTGTGGGTCACTGTTGCTAGGCATTGCTTATCCAGGTAAGGGCACAGTTGGTAAATCGGCTGAAGCTGAAGAAAAGCACTCCTCGCCACCGCTGCCACCTGAGATTCCAGTGGCAGTTCTGGATCGAGGAACACACCCAAACTTCACACCCTGTCCTTTAGGGGGAGTGCAAATCCATCCAGAACAGGGCTGATATCACTCACCCAGAAAGCTGAACTGCTCACCAGCAGGACCTCCCTCTTATCTGAATTAAGTCTCAATTTATGCATAGAAGTTATAAAACCTTCTTAAGGGTTTTAGAAGGATAATTCCTATTTGTTTGGCCCATTGCCATAAAATTTCAGGCACATTTTAGTTATAAGCGAAGCATATGAGTATGTGAATCATAACTGGGCATAAAAGGAATCAGATTGTGTGTATTTCATATACTGCTGGGCTTCATCTCAAGGATTCTGGTAAATACCATGCCTCAGATTTCTTTAAGCTGCTTTAACCGAGGGTTAGAAACTGTACAATGAAAGATTAGAAGCTTTTTATATTCTTCCTTAAATGTTTTTGAGCAGGTTTTGTTTGAAAATTGGAGAAGTTGAGACAGTTTGTTAATTAACTATCATCTTCAATGTGCCTCGCCCTCTCATTTTAGATATCAAATGCTTCCTTGGTGGTATTCAGTTTTGGTCAACCCACCAAAGAAAAGAAAAACTGCTCACAGTATCTTTTGAGAAGGAACAGCAGTAACTAAATGTAAGAATTAAACACTTGGAGTAGATTCATTCATGTAGCTGCTGTTGTTCCACTGTAATGAAATTGATGAAGAATTTGCAAAACACACTAGATGGAGGAAAATGGCTGCTTTGCATCACTTCCTTAAGGCCTTTTCTCACCACTGCAACCACTGTCCAAAGGGTTTAGCCCAGGGGTTGATAGTTACAGCTTTTGGCCTTCCGGATCTTTTTGCCTAGAAGTGCCATCATCCCTCACTGCTGGCTATGCTTGCGAGGAATACCAAGAGTTGTAGGCCAAAATATCCAGAGGGCTCTAAGTTGCCCACCCATATTTTAAAGGAGGAAAGAAGGTTAGCTATCACTCATGATTATCATCTCTGCTTCTCCTATATCTGGAAGAGTCTCAGAAGAGCCTTCCTCTTTGTCTGTCCCTCCTGACTCTTGTAGACAGCTCTCCCAAACACACTGATTTCCTGCTGTACCCCACATGTGCTGGAGAAATAGCTCCTTGTTTACAGGTAGGCCTTTACTTCCAGGCAGGCCTTCTCCTGAAGGAGCATTTTCAACTGCAGTGCTTGTGTCCTTTTGTTTCCTTCCTCTTGGGTTGGCTACTAGAAAGACACTGCCACCTGCCTCATCCATGGCTGAGCTGCTGCGGTGTCCATGGCACATTGCTTAACTTCCTTCGCTCAAATTTCATTTACTCTTCTCTCTTGGCATCATTCTATTTTACATTTCCAGAGCCTTGACCTGTGGAATACCCCCAGCATCCCCTTCTCCCAGTTGATACGAATTCAGTAAGTCTTAAATTCAGCAACTCTTATGTTGCCTGTGATTCCCACCTGCACTGAACTCAGTCAAGTTTCATATCAACATTATCTTGTAGTTTGTCAGAGATGGTTGTGTGAGCTCAATGTGCGGTGGTAGTTATTTACAGGCAAACAGGATATTCTGGATTCTGTTTTTTTGTTTTTATTCTAAAACCTCATGCTTTTCTAAGTTACATTTTGCTTTCTTTACTTAGAAGGGTAATTTATATTTAAGGTTTTATGGATTTTGGACCATCTTACTTACTTGTCATGTTTATATGAGATATGCAAGACTAAACTTTTGAGTTATCAGTTTCCCCCCTTCTTTGATGCCATAAATAGCAGCTTGCTTGTTTGTCTGGTTAACATTTGAGGACTTGAACATCTTCTATTCAGTCTCATGTTTTTAAAGAAATCCACCAGGGATAATTAACTATTAGCAGGTGGATACGTAGTATCTTATTTTCTCTCTTGAAATGACTTCAGAAATGACAACCAGCAAGGGTGAGGCTCTTTAAAAAGAGCTGAGGAGGAAGTTCACTTCTGACATTTATTGTAATCAGCTCTATCATGGGAATCTGCTGTTGTGTAACAGAAACTCTGACTTGTCCTTACCTGTTGAAGCATTGCTTCATAGAAAAGAAAATGGGCTTATTGAAATGTTGGTCAAATTCAAACTAAAATTGTATTTTAATATTTTATATTGAGATGCGATTGGATATCATAATAGATGTTCTGTGTTTCCCTACATTTTTGCTAGTTTGAAACTGTTCATTGTGGCCTGTCTCTTGGGACTATGCAGTGATCACTATTCTGCCAAGTATAATTCATGTTAATATATCAGTATGTGAATAATTTAGAACTGTTTTCTGTATGAATACTGTATGTAAGTTGTTTGCTTATAACCTGATTGCATGAGTCGATCTGTGATTTGAGTTGTGTAAGTTGACCTGTGGGGAAACTGGTTAGTATGAGAGAAAATGAGAATGGTCATACTTAGTATGTGGCTTTTTGATATATTGAGAACATTCTGAACAGTGAGTACATCTACTCCAAGTTTATAATGAGGGCTGGTAAGAAGCAGGGAAGACACAGTTTAGCCATTGAAGTTACACTGCCTGGCTAAACTATGTCCCACTATGCCAGAAGCATTTTCCCCCCAAATCTTTTCTCCTCTAGCCAAAATGTGGCCTCTGTGGCAAATTCTGCCCACCTGTTCCTGTCTACCCAAGATAGTTTTATTTTACTGGTATTGCCAATCTTGCTTTTTTCAGGTACTGAGAGTATCTTGGATTTTTCCCATTGTTGGTATTTTACTTTGTTGGGTGTTACGTTCTTCATGAGTTGTTTATTCCTTGGAGCAAGTCAGGATATTAAGCATCTCTTTAAGTTAAGCTGTAGGTGTTTCACCCACATATTTGTTTTTCCCTGCCATTTGTTGTCCTTTAGTAATCTGAGGCACACCCTCCCTTATTACATCAACAGGAACATGTGCTTCATAGGTATTCACTTCAGAAGATACATGTCCATTCTTTGCATCACTGCTCTATATTTGCTAAACTTTCCTTAACTTTCTCAGCTTCTTATTAAGCTTCTTAAAAACCAATACATTCAGTTGTGGAAAACAAATATCCTTCAACATTGGGCTGAATTTAATTGCAAGTGTGTTTGTTTGTTTTAAGAGTGATAAGACCATTTTATGAAATTATCACTAGTGAATTAGGGTTGTAATAAGATGTGTATATATAACAGGCTATACCCATAGTCATACAGGCAAATCTTCATTTGTGTAGTTAGACTTTCTCTTGCTTTCTACTTCAATTATCTGCTCTGGAGGGACCCCCAATCTTTTGGAGTGGGCTTATGGGATGCATGAGGGGCTGCAGGGGGATGGAATCCTTCCTCCCAGTGCTTTCTCTTCCATTCACAGACACACAGGACTGGATATAACCCTTTAGAAAGGTAGGCATTTTGAAGCCCCTCTCAGGGAAGGAAAGAAACTCCAGTTGCAATGAGCA